CGGCATCCGGTTATATATATAAAGCCTCCACATCATGGACACACATAACACGTTGCAAGCTGACTGCTATTTTACACTATTCTTAAGCTGTGTTCCATGTCTGTCATATAGACTTGAGCCTCAAACTCCTCCGAACACTCATCCATCCACTCTGAATGGAATCCAATATCGGTCGGCGGCCACATTTGGCGGTGTCTCCAGCCAGGCGCAATGCAAATCACGAGGTTCTAGTCCTAATTGCCAAGTAGCAACGGCAGCACCCAAAATTTCAGCCATCTCTGCATCAACTACCATGAACTAAATGCGCACTTCGTGACTCAACTAACATGAAGCACCGATACGCGCGCATAACCTTATTTTCTAGCCACGCTGAGGATCCGCCGACACCAGCCGACACAAGCTACGGTTGCAAAACAATGTTTGTGTAAAGCTTGAATAAGCATTGGTTCCGCTGCATCAACAGGTTAAGTTCCATAGCCATATGAAAAGAAGCAGTACGGCGGCATTATACTCACGCGCTTCGAGATGCAGGGATATACCGCTTTCGTACCAAAGGTGTTTCAAATTAGCGGACGGAACTCAAAACTTGTGGATTCGCGCGCCGATTTCATCTGTCACAATACAATCGAAACGTATACGACCATCAGCGTACGCGAAACGCTCCACAACTTCGAGTGCCCTCCCTGAACTGGAATGTTCGAGACTGCATTTCCGGAAGCATGACTCTTACGAGTGCAAAGTGTACACAAGGGGATGAGATAACCGATACGTTCATCCAAAAACACATGAGCCTTCTGCTCTTCGAAGACAAGAACGGTGTAGCCTGCACGTTCCAGATCAACAAGGTTTTCGTCAGAAGCTGATTAAACCACAGCTTCGGCGTTTGTTTAATTATCTCTTAGAAATTATCTCTTCTTCGAAGTTAAGTAAGCATGGATAAGGTTGGAACCTCTGACGGAAAGGCTTTATGCACGAAGGCCTTTGTTAAGCTCTCCATTTATTCTCACACGCGAGGAAGCCTAAGGATTAAAAAAACCTAATATGTTCACATAATTCCGTGGCATTTCTTGGTGGAAAGCGTGTCAAGAAGAACAGACCAGTCGATCGAGTCAAATGCACCTTGGCAATACAAGAATACTAGAATTTTTCATTGTTTATATTTAAAGCATTGTTTTAGCACCTGACGGATTGTGCAAATATTAAACACCCACCAAATCTCCCCGTACGCCTTCCGCCTCTCCCGCGCCTGCCGAACCTCAAACTCCGCCTCTGCAATGGAGGAACGAGAACACCTGAACTGAAAAAATTTTTTGTAGGACGCGTCTGCTCCTAGCCTGAGCTTGCTCTGGTTGTGGCATATATTCTAGGCAATCCTCCCGCGAATTTTAAATTCGCTCATAGCAGAACAAGAGTGCGCCAAAAAAGACTCGCTGGACGCACGCGGTTTGACGCTCCAGGGGCAACTCGTTTTGCAAAGCCTACACGATTTTCTTTGGGCAGAAACTGCGCAATTTGTACAAACGCGTAACATCGCTAGACAGGTCACTTTTTCTCCGATCTATTGTCCCTGCGCACTCCGAGGCACCTTGGTTGCTTGCAGTATAGCTACTACACGTCATTCACAATCCCTGTGCTCACACTCGTTCGCATTAACCGCGTACCTGTTACCTTCACCTGAATGTCCATTATGGTTTTTGAAATCTGGCATTGTCGCTTCACTGCCGTAGACAGAAATATTGACCACTTTGGCTGTCTGCTATTCCGGACCGCAGTATGACCAGGTTCAAGAACACCAGTCTCGTACTTAAGGTCGGTTACCTTCATTTAACTAGCTAGAGTAGCTGAAACCCAGTCCTCATCGCCTGTTACCACGACACCCTCTGGTAACAGTTTCTTGCCTGTTTGCCTCCATTGAACCATCTCAGCTGTTGCTGCTTTGATGTCTTGGTATTGTTACCAGAACTACCCACCATACAATTCTCTCGGTGAAGTTACGAGCGCCTGAGATTAACAAAGCCACTCGGTTTTTCGCAACAGACCAGCTTCGATTGCAAAACTGCATCCCACCTGAAAATCCATAAATCTTTTCAAACTACCCACTGCAGACGCAAGTCTTCGCCCATAATATCCTGTTTACTCCTAATGACTTTGCATGTATTCCCAGTAGCTTTGGATAAGGTATCCCCTAGGTCATCTTGCAACCAAAGGATGGTGTCGCCGTGACGACATTGAATTTCTGGCAGTGTGACCTGCACCCTATCGTTTGCCTCTAATTGGCTCATCTGTATGGACGACTTTATGTCTGCTTTCTGGGAAAGCTTTCGCAATCTTTTTGTGTATGTTTTTATTTTGAGTGCCCAGTTTTTCTGACACACCTGCGATTTGCTATATCCCCTTATTCATCTATTTTACAAAACATCAGCTCCTTGTTTAAAAAAGACACCTTGGACCATCGAATCACTACATTGTCCGAACCACTGAGTTTGCTTGCTTTCAAAATACCCTTCAACTCCCGGGGTAGAATTTTTTTAATTTTTCCCCAACTAACCCTCTTCCACCCTACTCACTAAGCTATTTATCATTCCAAACAACATCCCAACTTTAAACTGTCAACCAGTTTTTGCACCACACTTCTTTCAAAACTACCAAGTTTAGTGCTCAGCGTTCCTTAGCAGTGCACATTCCAAAGCTTTTCCTCACTCAACTTCTAGTATCTAATTTCGCCGTCTCTCTGCTGCCACTTCGGTGCCCATCTCTTCACGTGTCGATGAAAAATTGGTACCAATTTCATCCTGCCACCATGAATGATGCTTATTTCGATCAACTTGCCCAGCTTCCCTACGATTCAGAGCATTCATGTACGGGATGCGCGCTGCAGTTTCTCGGGGCAAGTTGTCATGATAATGCTTTGAAGCGTAGAACTCACTGGTTGAAAGTGGGAAGCACTGGCATCAAAAACTCTCCAGATGATCCTCTGGTAACAGTTTCTTGCCTGTTTGCCTCCATTGAACCATCTCAGCTGTTGCTGCTTTGATGTCTTGGTATTGTTACCAGAACTACCCACCATACAATTCTCTCGGTGAAGTTACGAGCGCCTGAGATTAACAAAGCCACTCGGTTTTTCGCAACAGACCAGCTTCGATTGCAAAACTGCATCCCACCTGAAAATCCATAAATCTTTTCAAACTACCCACTGCAGACGCAAGTCTTCGCCCATAATATCCTGTTTACTCCTAATGACTTTGCATGTATTCCCAGTAGCTTTGGATAAGGTATCCCCTAGGTCATCTTGCAACCAAAGGATGGTGTCGCCGTGACGACATTGAATTTCTGGCAGTGTGACCTGCACCCTATCGTTTGCCTCTAATTGGCTCATCTGTATGGACGACTTTATGTCTGCTTTCTGGGAAAGCTTTCGCAATCTTTTTGTGTATGTTTTTATTTTGAGTGCCCAGTTTTTCTGACACACCTGCGATTTGCTATATCCCCTTATTCATCTATTTTACAAAACATCAGCTCCTTGTTTAAAAAAGACACCTTGGACCATCGAATCACTACATTGTCCGAACCACTGAGTTTGCTTGCTTTCAAAATACCCTTCAACTCCCGGGGTAGAATTTTTTTAATTTTTCCCCAACTAACCCTCTTCCACCCTACTCACTAAGCTATTTATCATTCCAAACAACATCCCAACTTTAAACTGTCAACCAGTTTTTGCACCACACTTCTTTCAAAACTACCAAGTTTAGTGCTCAGCGTTCCTTAGCAGTGCACATTCCAAAGCTTTTCCTCACTCAACTTCTAGTATCTAATTTCGCCGTCTCTCTGCTGCCACTTCGGTGCCCATCTCTTCACGTGTCGATGAAAAATTGGTACCAATTTCATCCTGCCACCATGAATGATGCTTATTTCGATCAACTTGCCCAGCTTCCCTACGATTCAGAGCATTCATGTACGGGATGCGCGCTGCAGTTTCTCGGGGCAAGTTGTCATGATAATGCTTTGAAGCGTAGAACTCACTGGTTGAAAGTGGGAAGCACTGGCATCAAAAACTCTCCAGATGATCTGTGATGAACATGGCTGATGCTCTATTCATCGCTCTATCCATTATTCTCTTGTTTAAATATTCCATATGCTGTACATATACGCCAATTTGAATATATACGTGCTGCTTGTTGCGCTGATTTGAATTTTGGATTTCTAGCTCGTCGGGTTATATCAATATACGTCCGAAACTTAAGCCTCAAATCTTGGCGTCGCGATTGGAACAATTCACCATGCCTGTCAAAATGGAACCATCGGAATATAGTTACGATCTGTGTAGTGACGTGTTGATGGACTTGGAGCACGAAAATCTGTTCGAAGTTTGAATTTGTTGTTTGTCTTCATCCTTGAATTATTTCTTTTAGAATAATTTGACAAGACTGCTTCCTCAGTCTTCGTTACATGCTTTACATCTTCATACCGCTCACACATTTTTCAAATAGTTTGAAATTTCTGGTCCGGACAGATCAGCACGTTCAGTCGTAATTCGGGCAGTTGATTGTCAGCAATGAGCCTATCACGCAGCTGGTCTTCCAATTGGGTACCGTAGTCGCATTTGGATGCCTCTGTCTGCAGCTGCAATACAAAATCACGAACCGACTGAGAATGGGGGTGGGTCAACATATTGAACCTAGCTCTTTCGGCTGCTAGTTAATCGGCTTGAAGTGATGAAGAATTTTTTCTTCAATGCATTGTGGGAAATATCAATTGAAGATTCAGGATATGCTGGGTTCTTGATCAACGTATGCTTCTCCATGCCAACGAAATGTAGGAAATATGCCGTGGGTTTCTTATCATCCATATCAGATTTTGTGAGACATCGTATGTCAAATCGTTCCAAATAATCTCCCACGTCTTGCGCAGCTGAATTGCCATCCACTGGTTCCGCCACAAGCAACACCATCGATTAACAGCCAGGTAAGACCACAGTTTGAGAAACAAGACAGTGTATACCATCAGCACGGGGAACTAAAAAGCGGATTGAAATCGTGCATCAAAATGATCAGAGTTGGGAATATCAGCGCACAGAAGAGTTTGGTGCAACCCAACCCGAGGGCAATATTGTAATGAAGCATTCTTTGAAGGACGGCGTATTCCAGAAACCGGGCAGCAATTATGAACAGATTGCAACATAACGACAGGCCCAAGTCGTGGTACTTATCTGGTGTTTGAAGAATAAATTGTAACCAGGCCATTGGATCCATCACGACACCGTACTTAAGGATGTTTTCCAGAGCCATTTGTGATGTTGTGATCAGAAGAAGGAACGCACCCAGTTGAGCAAACCATGGAAGTTGTTGAACCCACTGGTCGTAGTGAGAAGCGATTGCGTGGAGCGATGAAAGGGTGTGTCAGGTGAATTTTCGAAATGGTATTTGTTTATCATTTCGTAATCTGCCAAGTTTCCATGACTCAGTGCCCATGTAGTTTTCATCCGTATAAAAGAGAGTACGATCGAATCGCAGTGTGGCACGCTGAACACACAAACTCTCAACGAAATTGATTTGGCGGCTGTGGCAGAGCGTCAAGGTCAATGGTCCACCCAAATACGTTAAGAAAACTACGCAACTGACATCTAGAATCCCCAACTCCTGGCCAGATTACGTGGCCATAGAAGTCACGAGGCCGTTTATGTCTTACAAATTCTCCCAGCTTAAGGCTATGGAACCATGGCCTAAATAAATATTTTCCTCCTTGCGGTGCATATGAAGAATTCTGGGGCCGAGGTTTCAAAAATAAAACAAAATTTTCTCGTCTTACTCGGAAGCATGACAAGCATAAGGACGTTAAAACAATGCAACTATATATCAAAACCAAGGTACCTTCGAAAGACAGGATTTCTACCGGCTTTTTCACATCTGGGAGAAAAATTCCAACAGTCCACTCAAAGACTGGATAATAGAACGCCTTTCGCCAACCTGGCGGCGGCCCAAGCTAATCCCCATCAATTATGCCAAAACCCATCTGCAAATCTTATATTTTACCCTCTGGCTACACAACCGCGCAGGTCCCTTTTGTTACACAGCCAGGAGCGGTTTCTGAGGGAACGCTGAACCAAACACTACGGCCTCATTAGCTCCAACAATAATAGATACCTAACCTTAGCCACAGTCAGCAAGCAGTCAGAAATAAGGCTCCTGTGCGACCAATTCGCCAAACTTTTAAAACGACCGACCGGACTACATGGATATTTCGGCCTGCATCCTGATCGGCCTCGGCGTTTGGCAAAGCGGGTCCCAAACACATTTTCGTTCATTCACGGACTGATGCACAGGATCGAGTCTTTTACCCAATTTTCCCGGGTCGGAGTTGTTCCTATAGTTCACCGGCTGCCGCTAACCTGAAAAGCACGAGGAAAAAAGGTGTAGCACTGCTTCGGAGTTCCCAGAGATGGGTAGTAAGTTTCCTAGCGTTTGAACTCGCACAAACAAGCATCTGATAGCTTCAATCTGAGTAATAGATTGATGGCCGCCTCAGAAAGGTTATTCCACGCAAGAACTACCCAAAATTAGAAAAAAATTGCCTAACAGAAATGCGCGCTCTGGGCTTGAAAACGTTTTACCAGCTCCTCGGTGTGTGTTAACCAGGTCAACAGTGAAAAACCTGTTACCCAAATTTTGTTCAAACAGAGCATAAATATTGCTTCTCCCTGAGGCGGCAACATTCCATGGAAAAGAGGTCAGGCACCGCGAGACTCATTTCGTAGTCCGCGGATTCAAGACAGGCAGCCATATTTGTAGAAGCTCGTTCGACACGGTCAATGAGGATTACGTTTTTATTGCGTCCTTAGTAGACAACGTGGTCGCCGTATTCAACAGGAGTCCACAAGAAAGGTCTCGCACAATCCTGTCCAACGATTTCGTGACTGCCCCACAAACAAAGCATAATTAGTCGATGTTAACGGATGAATTGAATTGTGTTATACTGGAGAATTTAGTCACAGTGCTTACGTTTGCCTAATGTGCCTATTAGCTTTTTTGAAATTTAACTTCGTGTTGCTGATCCTTATCTAGCAGGTATATGTTTCTCCATGGTCGCTACATGTTGAAATGCAGCTTTCTGAAGTGACAATAGTATAACGAACAAAGATGGTAGGTGTAGCAAAGATAAATGGCATGGTAAACCAAGTATATTTTCGTGAACGTAAATACATAATGTACCAATCCCGATCACTTTGGGGGGTGACATTCTGGGGATGGAGGGAAATTAACATTTAACTGCAACCGCCTTGGGTATCTGAGAATTCGTCCAGAAAACCTACTGTAATATACCCGATAAAATGTTTGCAGCATGGACGAAGACATCATCCAGGGTTTCAGATGCTGATAGAAAGATATATTGAAACGGTTCATTATTCAAAACTTAACCCGCGGCCCTGCCAGCAGAACTGTCGACAATGAATATAATTTTAACCTGTTATCTATCAAACAGCATATATACCGATTTATCAGCGGCGGTCATACTGACGTTGGACACAGATGTTCACTGGCATGGGGTTCAAATCAGCACACTACCACCGAAGGTGGTATAATTATTGTTCTTATATTTGCCTCACCTAATGCGCAGGCAAAACCAGAAAATAAGTAACAGGTACATGGCTATAACCCAGCTTCGGAAATCTGGCAAGTGCAACCGTTGCAAGAAAGCAACGGTCCTCTCACCGAAGGAGCTCATTCAGATAATGCAAGAAATTTGGCATGTCTGCTGATCTGGTATTCTTTGCTCACAACTAATGAAAAGTAAACTGAGTTCCACAACGACATAATAATAGCATTTAGAGATTTCGAGGCGGCTACTGGAAACTACACTTACACTCTGCTTTTAGATGTCAGTTATTGATGCATGTATAACCGAGGCCTGGATGGAGGTTCTGAATTACCTCAGATGCCAGTTAACGAGGAAGACAATGGAAATATTGTTTGCGCTAACACTGCTATGGACCCGGAATGTGTAGCTAACCTTTCGCCACATACATGATTGTACAGGTCATCGCCACTCGCTGGACCACCAACCCTAGTCCACTTCATCACTCAAACATAGCACACATGTTCTTCCCTCTTGTCATCTAGAGCTATCATATGCGCAAAGTGCTAATAACTTATGATTTGTTGATTACAAGCAGTCACAGCTAGCACTTAATGGCTATTTTGCCATGCACCATTCGTTTTCTGGAGATGACAGCATTGACTCGGTGACTGATGATCCTTAATCTTACTTTCCTGTTAGGTTGATTTAGTAGACCTCAGTTAGGCTACGATTCTTACCACTTATCTCGGAAACTGTTGCCCGTCCGCTTTTCACTTGTCCACTGTCA